AACCCTAATTAAACCCTGAATCCTAAACCCTCGATCCTAAACCCTCCATCCCGTACCCTAAGCACAAAACCCAAAACCCAAAGAAGAGAAGCATGTCGCCTGATAGGCAACATTGAGCTTCACCATCTGTGCTTCTCGCCTCGTAGCGCTACAGGGCCACGACTGCTGGGCCGATTTTGGGCTATTGAGATAACAAAAGAGTTTTTGAATCCCAGAAAACAAATAAATCTTGGTATGATATGATAGCCACCCAAACTCAGAGTTTCTGGGGGCAAACTTTTCCATGCTAATGGCAGGAGCAGCTCACCACACCCTTCACCCTGCCCCTTAGCCCTTCGGCCTAAAGATAACATGAACCTGACAAATCAAGCAAAGATCAATCGGCACGTTCTGGAAATGAGGGCGCCCGGCAAGTTCCATTCTCTGGCCACCCCTAAACCTAAACTCGGAACCCTAAACCTACGTACGCTAAAACCCCAAACCCCAACTCCCCAAAACCCTAAACGCCCCAAACCCCCTGAACCCTAATGTAGACCCATAATTAATAAACCCCATCCTTTTAAGGTCCTTAATATCAGGATCCCTATTACAATCCCTATGAAGGGGAGGGGGTGTATTAATCATGGGTCTACATTAAGCGAAGATCCAGTCGAGCTCCAGGCTCTCTCTTTGTGGACTCGTCCAAGTGATGCGCCTTGTCTGGATGATACCTGGCTTACGGCGATACATACACACACGCACGGGTTCTATGGGGTTTTAGAAGGGTTTATAAGGGTGTATAGGGTTCAGGGGCTTAGGGTTTAAAATGGTTTAGAGTTCAGGGCTTTGGGCTCAGGGATGCGCGGCTGAGGTGTGAAGGTCAAGCGCCCGGCCTTTGGGTTTACCTGGCAACATACCCAAATTAAGCGGAGCGTCGCCATGGTAACCTAAAGCCCAACTTTAGACCCTAGGGGATTAAGATTCTTGGTCCTGGGGCTTCCAAACTCTTGCAAGATTGACGCATGGGCATGCTAAGAACACATTCAACTTGTAAATTGAGATTAGGGTTCTTGGTTTGGGATCAAGGGATCAGAGTTGCTGTGACTGCAAGCACTGAAGCGTGAAAGAAGAATCTGGACGTTTAAGGGTGGCCACAGGAGGACCCCCTTCTTTGGGTTGAAGCTAGGTATGCAGCACCCTGCTTGGGGAGCATGGATGATCCGAGGTGCTCCTTCTTTCTGCTACAAAACCTGGTTTAGCTCCCACAAGCTGCTAGGATACCTTGACGGTCAATGTGCCAACGATTGTCACTATACTTGATCATGGATCAATCCTCCACCCAGTAATGGGTACCACAAAGGACAATAGGAGGAAGATCTAAGATAGAGGCCCTATTAACTTCATGTTTAGAGGCTATTACTGTAGCGCGACCGTTGACGTCTTTCACATGCTTCGCTTAAGTGCAACTTGACCGCAAGGGAAGCTTCCAAAGCAAAAGCAACAAATCACAAGTTATTGCTACTAGACCACTTGCTCGGATAGTTACCCATGTTACCCCCTAACCCCTATATACCGTAGAGTAGTTTCAATTTTCTTTTCCACTATCCCTAAACCCTAACCCCTAAACCCATGTGGGGGGTTGTCAAAATTATGGTCCCTTTTTGGGTAGCCTAAATATTAGGTGCCGTATTATAATGAGGATCCCAAAGCGGACCATAATTTTGACAACCACCCATGTGCCAACCAAGCAGGCACCATCCAGACTGGGGAAGCTCAGAGCTAAATTCTCCAGCCATTTAGGTAATTCCCAAAATCAGGGTCCCCCAACATTAGGGGTTTATTTAGGGATAATGGAAAAATGGATTTAGGGTTTAGGGCTTTGGGTAATTCCCACAATTGTGGTCCCCCAACGTTAGGGGTCTATAGGGGTTATTTAGGGATTATGGAAACGAAAATGGAAGCTACTATTTAGGGTTCAGGGTAGTTCGCAAAATCAGGGTCCCATTTTGGTACCCCTAAATATTAGGTGCCGTAAGTTTGTTTTTAACGTAAAGGGGCAGAATAACTTTGAGAGTAACCCATTTGCAGGCGGACCTCTTGCAAAGGCTCCGGTATGCCTTCTTCACCTCCCGTGCATGAGGTGATCTGTTGATTTCCTCAAGTTAGGGGTGCCTTCAGCGAGGCGTTTCCCAAACTTAGGGTTTTCCCATAATAAGGGTTATAGTATTCTGGGGTCTACATCGGGGTCCCCTTTTTTTGGGAACCTACCATATTCTAAAGTTAAGCCCATGGCTCGGATGCATCATGGGGCCCCTAATGGCACCCCGCCCAAGGTACCCTCCCAGGGCTTAAGGAGCTAATAAGGACTATACAGGGCTTAATAAGGCCTAATAAATCTGGGAGGGTACTATTGTAATCCCTTAGTAATGTATCCTGAGGAGGCCCTGGATTCCCGACAAAGCGAAAAGCCAGCTTACGGGGCGCATACCTCGAATCTTGGAGCTACTGTCTCGATATGAGCCATTCTCTAAACTCCTTGTATCCCCCTTAAAAAGCCCTACAAGAGTCCCCTGCGCAATCCCCCATATAACCCCGATTTAGGATGTTAGATTCTGGCTCACATCGCTTCCCATGCATAGTCAGAGATGGGATTTTGACTCATGACCCAGCAGCTGCACGAACAAAGCTACTTCATCTGCGAGACGGGACTGCAGACGATCTATTCCAAAAAGCTTCTGCTAAATGTGCAAGCGCCAGAATTAGACTGCTTCAGCCGGAAATCCGCAATCCATCCTAAGCATTATAAGCCCTAAACCCAAGCTGCTGTGGGTGCTTTAGTAACACCATCTAGGAAAAAACGCAAGTCACTCTCACAGCATAAGTCACAGTCCCATCACCCTAAACCCTAAACTGTAAATCCAAACCCTAAACCCTAAACCCTAAATAGTAGTTTCCATTTTCTTTTCCATCATCCCAATACAACCCCCATACAACTACATCTACTTAAGGGGGACTATATGAGCTATAGTCTAAACTCTTAGTATCCCCTTTAATAACCCCTATAGTAGTCCCCTATGTGATCCCCTATATAACCCCCTCTTTTAAGGAGTTTAGACTATAGCTCACATGAAGCCCTAATCCCAATTAAATACCTTATTACACCAGTTTCCATGTCATTTTCCATTTTCTTTTCCATTTGATTCTCGATTCTTGGGGGGTACTATCCCTAAACCCTAAACCCTAAACCCTAAGGAAGAGCTCTACATGTTGCCAACGCTGTTCCCTATCTGAAGGCCTCCAAGTCCTGTAAAAACCCGTACTTGCAAGCATTCTACTTCATTCCGTGGACTGCATGATTCCTCCTTCCCGGAGAACCCCTGGGTTTAGGGTTTAGGGTTTGGGGTTTAGGGTTTAGGGGTTTAGGGTTTAGGGTTTAGGGGTTTAGGGTTTAGGGGTTTAGGGTACCGTAGCGCGAACCCTAGACCCTAAATTCCCTGGGCCTGCCTCTGTCTGACTCGCCTTGGCTTGGAGGCCCAGGATAGAGTAGTGATCTTGCTCCTTTGGCGTTTCCGGCGCAAGGCTTCATGGTTGGGATGAGTAGGTCTTCCGGGAGTAGGGGTTTAGGGTTTAGGGGTTTAAGGGGTTTTGTTTAGGGGTTTAGGGCTTAGGGGTTTAGGATTTTTTGTTTAGGGGTTTAGGATCTTGCTTCCTGGAATTGCTGTAACCTAGAACCTAGCAAACAAAAGAAACCATGGAGCTCATGGTATGCCGTCCTGGACCCTGTAGTTCCTTACATGTGCCAGACATAAAACGAATGAGTGGTGCTTTCATGTTCAGAACCCGTTGAGCTAGCTCCCAAGCCAAGCAGTGAAGATATCCTGAAGAAGATCTTCCTTCAAATATCAGGCAAAATGACTCTGCCGGCTATTTCACCAAACGGGGCCTCCTGATGCATAGTAGAACGAGGTTGACCTTGGTGATTAACTAATCATGACACATGAATGTGGAGTAGCAAACGTACTTGAACTTCTGCCACAAAGACAGGAGCCACGACACTTTTTGCCAGATCGGCGGAGAGCTTGTTTTTAACGCCCAGGACACTACGGACTGCAGCATGCATTAATGAAGCCTCAGCATTCAGTATCAACAACCTCCTACTAGCCAAGCCTCCAGACTTGTCTTTCTTGTCTTTTTTGCAAGGCCCCCTTTTCGCCCGGGTTTAGGGTTTAGGGGTTTTGGGGTTTAGGGTTTTAGGTTAACCCTAAACCCGAAAATCTAAACCCCAAGGATTTTTCTTGTCTCGGGCCAGGGTTCCTTTGTTCTGCAAGCCCTGGAGCTTGTGAGACTCCGAGTAAAGCAAACGACCGCCATGAGACAAGGCCCACCGAGAAGTTGTAACACAAGCTGGGTTGCTGTTAAGGAACTTAAATCAAGTTACCATAATGGGTATATAAGGTAATTTATATGGTTCCCAATGTAGTAACCTAAATTACGTTCCTTAAATCCCTATATTCCCTCAGTTTCCATTTCATTTTACAATTTCTTTTCCAGTTGCTTCTCCATTATAGGGGATAATGTAGTAACTTGTTCCTTTAGCAGCAACCCAGGAGAAGGGTAAGGCGCTCAGTCGTCCGCAGGATCTCCATGGTCTGCAGGGTCGCCAATTACTTCCTGAACACAAGTTTAGGGTTTAGGGTCGGTTTAAGGTTTAGGGTTTAGGGTTCAGGGCAGATGTAGGAGGGCAACTCCTGAAATTAGGACACTCTAGTTTTTCGGAGAATAAGAGATTTCCCCTCCGTGCCGCAATTTGCAGCATAGAACTTCTTTCTGACGCCCGGGCTCCAAGCGAACACCACGAAGCAGTAAGTACCCTCTCTCCCAAAGTACCCCTCACAATCCTTTTGAAATAGGGCATGGGGTCCCCTAAACCCTAAACCCTAAACTCTCCATGCGTATTGGGGGGAGGCTAGCCTTCCAGGTTCTAGTATTACTATCCCTATTAGTAATGTTATTACTATTCTTACTATATGGCTGTTTCGCAAAATCGGGGGAACCCCAATATAGACCCCAATATACTATAATCCTTATTATGGGGACTCCCAAAAAAGTACCCCTAATTTTGGGAAACCCCCATATTATTGCTGTTGCACCTTAGTTTCTTGCTCGCACTCCGCGCCTGCGAGGTTTTACCCGTGTCGTCAATTTCCATCCTGAGACTTGTCACTTCTGTCGGCTCTACTTGGAGTAGGATTGAGGGTTTAGGATTTAGAGTTTAGGGTGTAGGGTTTAGGGCTTGGGGTTTTGGGTTTGGGGTTTCGGGTTTAAGGGTTTAGCGGTTTAGGATTTGGGGTTTAGGGTACTTGGTGAGTGGGTTAATGACGGGGACAACTAGGGATGTTATGCGGCTTGTGTTATACATGCACTTACTAGGCCCCCTGGACCCTCCAAGTAATCTAAGATTGGAACTATGGGCCCCTGGTAGTGTGAGCCCTTAATCCTGGGGTCCTTATATACCTCTTCTACACCTTGCAAAACTTGAGAAGCCCATTTAAAGGTCCACATTTAAGACCCCGGAAAAAGGTACAGTAGCCCATATTGGGGGCCAATGCTTAGGCCATGGAGCTTTGGCCCCCTTCCTGCTCGTACAGGCTCCCTCCTTCAAGATCCCGTTTCAATGGGTTTCAACTTACTTGTGCATTGTGACAAATGGCCCGCTTAAGAGGATGCCTAATAACATCATGGGCGTGATGCCCTCTACGAAAACCCTGCAACACGAGCAGCGCAATCTGTCCAATGTTACTTCCTATAGATGGAATGCCTAGGACCCCCACCCGTACAATTAGGGCCATTTTGGCTTCATTTGATAGTTATGGCGTCCTGATGATAGGGCTGAGGGGAACGAAAATCCCCGCTTCCGTAGTATCTCAGGCCAACACGTTGATACTTGGGAGCCTCATAGGACGGCTGCCCCCGAGCACATGCCCCGCAATGCGGTAAGCACAAAACCCCGCTCAAAACCAACACACTGCCCAATCTGGGGTTTAGGGTTTAGGGATTAAACTTCCCAATCCTTTAACATGTTGGTTAATCGTAGGGCTGCAGGAATGGATCCCTCTAGTAGAGCTTATGAAACATCCCCAAATATACAGTAGCTTCAATTTGCTTTTGCATTCCTTTCCATTCCTTCCATCCCAAACGCTAAACACTACGCACCCCTACACCAAACAAACCATGTGCTTCTTGGTTCGGTTTTCCATTCCACGCTAACAGTCTGCAAGCCCCAGGAATATAGTAGGAATATACCTACCAGGGTCCTACTATACTCTTGGGGTTACGTCACGTGTTTGAGGTCCCCTAAACTCTAAACCCTTCAAACATTGGGGTCGACCCATCTGTCCAAGAATCAAGGCTTCGGGCCCACCTTTCTGGATCAGATACCTTAGGGAATGACGCGGGAGTTTCCGTAAATTGAATAAAGGCCCACATACAACCCTCAAAATACGGACTCCAAACGCGGGGGCCCGAAATTGTCGGAAACCACCGCATAAACTTTGAGGGCGCTTCTTGCGAATGAGCTGCTTGATTATATAATCCTGCCCCCTGTCATTACATATCTGCCCTACCACTCCTGGCATATAAAGCCTCTCACAAGTAGACTAGAACATCAGTGGGTTTGGGGGTCTTCAATATCCTGGGGAACGGACTACGAAGGTCCTGTCACATGCGGTTTTTGGGGTGTGTACAGGATCTAAGGGCTAACCCTAATACCTTTAACACTAAACTCTGGATCCTAAAGCATCAGAGTCTGAGATCTAAAGGAGTGGTTTCTTGGCTGTCACGCGCACGGGCTGACAAAAGCTGGACTCGGCTGTTAAGGAGTCAAATTTGGACGAAGATTTGCTTTCCTCAAGTGAAAGCGAGCGCTGTTTGACACATCCCTGGAGGCGCATGCCTTGCACGCAACATGCGCATGGCACAGCCAGGAGAGGCAACATCTGATTCCAGTCTCTGTGTCGCGTGTGTTTCGGCCTCGCTTCATCAGAAAGACTTCGTGCTTGACAAATGTGGCTTGTTTGGGATGCGTCTGTCAAGAAGAAAACTGGTAGATACCAAAGCCCAAGTGCGGGTTTTGTTGAAACTTGGATGGTCCACAATTGCATCACCCTTCATTCAGAGGAAATCCCTATATCTACCTGCCCGTGTTACACTTCAAAGACCAGGCATGCTTTGAGGGTGATCGTGAGGCTTTCTCATGAAGTGCCTTTACTGCCGATAAGCTGCACATGGTAGTTATCAGCGTCCGCCTGGTTGCAGTCTGTTTCCGCTTTGGGCACGCAATCGCAGGCCCCGTCGACGACCCCAAAGTCGAAGAACTTTCCGCAGGAGGCTTCATTCAGTACGTACCTGAAGCAATGCGGGCGGGTATACCTGGCGAGGGACGCCTCTCTGTAATGACGACCCCCCCTACTTAGGCTGACTGAGGGGACCTGAAAGTTACCAACATGGTTTCCTTGTAGCTTTTGTTCGAATACGCCATAGGACGTGCTAATTGCACCCCATCTCATAAAGCCAATTTCTTTCGGAGCTCCTTCCCAGAACGGTCCATTCTAGAATTATGCCTCGACCAAAGGGTGCTCTTGAGTCCCTAGGGAGTAGCAGAAACCCTCAGGGAAGGGCATACAGGGCTCCCAGTAAGTCTGAAAACTAGTGCGCTTCTGTTTGCGCAGCTGCAACACGTCTTCAAGCATTCGATTTAGCTACCTGGCCCACGCCGTCAATCTTGAACCCGTTTGACCCTAGGTGCCATGAAGCAGAGCCGGCATCACAGGGGGTGGTTGTCACAATTGTTTCTGATGTCTTACCATCTACCAAAGTTCGAAACTCGAATCCCCCTCCCTCTGCGAAAAAAAAAACACGCACACAAGCCACTATCATCACTTGATACTCCCCTTAAGCATGTTATGCTGTTTTCAGAGGGAAAATTTCACAATAGTGGGGTACTAGGCGGTGCTGGGGTGTTTGCATGACCTGGAAAAGCCCGGGCTGAGTGAAACGTAGATTTGGAGACGCCAGAAGAACCCCTGTTCCGGAGGCTTAATCCTAAAAATAACACGCCCGCCCCTTAATAAGGAAATGTCTGCAACATAGTACCGTTATTATATAGCGGGGCAGTCTTCATTAAGCGGGGCGGGTGGTTTATTATCCAGGGAAGGGGTCTAGGCCTAGGCAGTGGACTAGATTTAAGAACCCTGAGCCCTAAACCCTGAAGCACTACCATGCTAACCTCCAAGCCACGAGCTGAATCATATTGAAACAGGTGTTCTTCAGGGGCCACCTGCATGTAACTCACCTATGATATACTACGGGCCCCCAAAACAGGAAGCACAATTCTGAGAAACCCTCCACATCTAGCCGCACCCAATCCCTTCAATACCTACCCATTGCTCTAAACCCTAAACCCTAAGTCCTAAACCCTAAACCTTGGATGCTAAACCCTGATCCTCCGATGTTTGCTGCCCCAGAAGCTCGAAGCAAGCCTTCGTCTGGTAGTTGCCAACATTCTTCTTGTAGCCAGAATTAGCATTTGCCTGTTTAGGGTGCAGACCCTGAACCGTAAACCCAAAGCTGTGCTGTAGTAGGGCTTAGGCTTTGGGGCCTGGGGCCAAGTATTTAGTAATAGGTGTCCGGGCCGAGGCTTCAAGCAGGATTTGAAGGTGCTTAATCGTTTTCTTGCGGCTTAGGGCATTTCAATAGTTTGGGATATGAGGTCTCTGGGTTTGGGGATTTGAGTGTGGAGCAGGGGCCTACTCCTTGCAGCGACAAATACATCAATCTCATTTATACACCTGGTCGTGCCGATCCGCAGTACTTTGTCTGCCTTTTTTGTCCTCCGCTTAGCAGTCCAAGTTTTGTCTCTTGCCAGGCACCTGAAGCCTAAACCCTGAACCCTTTTTTGCAACCGGGCTGAGCATGTTGCCGGGCGATGCACTTGCACCATCAGAAGCTCAAAGGCATTCCAATGCTTTACGGAACCATCCATGGGGAGCAGAATCAGTAAGCAAAGCAACCTCAAACTTAGCATAGAATTTTCGGCACACTTCTTCAGGAGACGACGAGTTAGGCAAGCCATGACGAAGGACATCCAAATGTAGCAGCAACTGAACAGCACCAGGTCGAATGGAACAACTCATCTGCACATATCCCCAGAACTCCATTGCTGAATCTAGAAAGCTGCTGCTTTCGGTCGTGAAACGCTGCATACCATGGGTGACATCCAACCACACGAAGCAAAGAGTACCATCCAGTAAGCCCACACATGCAGTAAACAACCAGGCAATTTCATGATTGAGTGCTCGACGCCAAGAAGTCCAATGAGTGTCTCGGGCATAAGTGGGGGCTCCCAAATACAAGTCAATCAGGGAATGCGTCTGTGCCCTCCACCAACTCCTATCCGCAGCCTTAGTCCTCAGGAATTCTTGACTTGAACTTGCCTCGACGTCATGCCCCAACTTAACCAATGTGTGAGCCACCCATTTTCTATGAGTGAGGCCAGGCCCCGGTCTAGCCTGCAAGAGGGGCTCCCAAAAAGCAACTGCAGTAACATGTGACATAGGCTGCCGGATAACATGGCCAATGTATGACCAAGCCCGTCTCAACCAGGATCTGGACCAGACAGTGTCGGTGAGAAAAATGAGCATTTTGGAAATTCTACGTCTAATCTGGTGCAGCGACATCGCAACATCGAAGCCAACATTGCTGGGGATGTATAATTTCAAGGCCTCCACCAACAAGGAAATTTGCATGACATGACAAAATTCGATGTTTCTTTGCAAGGGCAAAATGAGCGGACTGAACCAAAGCCAACGAGTGGCCACACGCCTGTGTAACGATGACAACAGCAAACGATGTGATGACCAGTTGGCATACTTGTATATTGATCTCATTGACTTCCAAGTGGAATGTATAGTAGCTTGCGCAGTACGAAGAAGGGGGTCCACTTCACCAGCTTGATACAATGAGG